TAAAGCAAATCAATTAAGTATCATATACAGTCGAATATTGATACATGCAGTAAGCAGCACAAAATACTTTTTCATTTCCAAAGAGGGCATGAACTCTTGAAAGAAGGGATGCCTTGAAGGCCAGACTACTTTTGAGTGCTAGGCACAACTCCTGTAGGGCATAATGCAGGTGTGTAAGCAGAGAAGTAACCAAAACACAAGGTTGTAGGCTGCTTACACAGTTGTAGGAAAGTGTAAATGAATACAATGGTGTCTGATCTCGTTACTCTCCAAAGAGTTCTCTCCTCCCCGCCTTCCACTCAGAACAGAAAAATCTTGCTCTGGATTCTTAAAAAATTATCTGTTTTTCAAATTAGCACTGAATAAAAGTAAGACAGGCTACAGGCTTCTCTGAAGTCAGTTTAACCATTATTTTGAATAGTTTATTTAATCTTTTTTCGTTTTCACATTAAATTTTTTTTCAACATTAAAAACGATGCCTACCAAAAATACTGATCAATTTTTAGGAGGATTGTTTGAAACCCTCCAAGAGTCTTTGAAAGAATATCTGTGGTTCTACTTACAAAATACCCTTCGGCAGTGTCCAAGTTGTCTATTTCCATAATAAGTCAGAATCTTAGGGATCTTGTCCTAGTATTTTCACCAATTCTCGATACTATTTTTCATTCACTCAGAAGAGTTTGTTCCCAGACCATTCTTCTGAACTGTCTCATTTTAAATTTCACTGGTGGTGGGATAGGAGCTGATTTTTTGTTTTTCAACTATATATTTTTCTGAATTAAAAAAATCTTTTTTTTTTTTTTTGAGACGGAGTTTCACTCTTTCACCCAGACTGGAGTGACGTGGTGGGATCTTGGCTCACTGCAACCTCCGTCCCCCGGGTTCCAGGGATTCTCCTGCCTCAGCCTCCCAAGTGGCCAGTATTACAGGGATGCACCACCACACCCAGTTACTTTTTGTATTTTTAGCAGAGACAGGGTTTCGCCATGTTGGCCAGGCTGGTCTCGAACTCCCGACCCCACGTGATCCATCCGCCTCAGCCTCCCAAAGTTCTAGGATTACAGGCGTGAGCCACTGCGCCCAGCTGTGTATTACTTTTCTAATCTAATTTCCAATAAACATTCTAAACAGTTACTTTAAAACTTGTACAAGTGATTCCATTCATGAAAAGGTCAAAAACAAGCTAAACTTATCTAGGGTGTTGGAGTTAGGATGCTAGTTCACCAGGTGGTGACAGGATGGGCTGATAATGCTCTCAACTCCTTATCTAAGTATAGGTTGCATTGGCATGTTCACTTTATGAAAATTCATCAAACTATACACTTAGGATTTGTGCCCTTTTCTGTAATGTACATTCCAATAAAAAGTTTAAGGTAAGGAGAAACATGCTGAAAAGGTTCAAATTAAGGAGAGAGTCCTTATAAAGTTTAGGGGGCCTCCTGAAGGTTGCAATAAGAGGAACATACGTAAGGGTCATCGTTTAGCAAGGAAGTAGGCTCTTTGGCTGCCTGGTTACTTTTACAAGAGCATCAGGCATTCTTTTAGACTATTAGAGAGACCTCGGAAATCTACATGGTGATCCCTACGTCTGCCCAGGCACAGTTGTGATGGAGCAGGCAGCAAGGACAGTCTGTGGGAATCCCCCGGCTGGTAAGTAGGCTTAGCCAGTACTGCCATCTCCTCTTCCCTACTGAGACTATAAACTTACTTTCATGAAGCAACTTATAAAAGGAAAGAAAAAATAAAGTCAACTGTAATGGTGGTGAAGAAATCTAAGATAGTAATTATTCTTAGCCAAAAAACAGCTTTGGATAAAGAGGAAAATACTGCATTGTGCAATGCTCAGATCTAGGAACCAGTGGGCTACATATTACAGAAATAAGAGACTCATGAATATGTTTCCCAAAATATTCCAAGCTAAATCTACTGAATAGTTTCATACATGAATTTTGTACTTATTTAATTATGAAGGTCTGAACTGGATTCAGTTCCATGATGCTTTACAATATCTTATGGATAATATTAGATAATAAAGTGTTATTTGTAGATTTGGAGAACCTCAGATATCTTTGGATACTTTCAGAATACCAGTGATCTAGCTTAAATGTTTAATCATCCTCGATGAAAACAAAGGAGACAACTTAGATCATAAACCAATTGTTTGTAATCTCCTACACTAATCAATAAGCATCATTCCCCCAACTTATAAATATTTACACTTCTTTCAGCTACACTTGAAAGATGTGCTAAAACGGCCGGGTGCGGTGGCTCAAGCCTGTAATCCCAGCACTTTGAGAGGCCGAGACGGGCGGATCACGAGGTCAGGAGATCGAGACCATCCTGGCTAATACGGTGAAACCCCGTCTCTACTAAAAAATACAAAAAACTAGCCGGGTGAGGTGGTGGGCACCTGTAGTCCCAGCTACTCAAGAGGCTGAGGCAGGAGAATGGCGTAAACCCGGGAGGCGGAGCTTGCAGTGAGCTGAGATCCGGCCACTGCACTCCAGCCTGGGCGACAGAGCGAGACTCCGTCAAAAAAAAAAAAAAAAAGAAAGATGTGCTAAAACAAGAATCAGTTATAGTGTTTTATAAATGCTCTAACAGGAAACATCAATACAATTTATTAACTATTAGCAATAATCAGGCATCGAATAAACCTCACAGACTACGATAATACAATTAAGACTATGTCTCTACATAAATGCAAACAGTGATGATCGTTTAGGACTATTCTGAAATCTCCCACTGAGTAAAAAAACAAAGTCTAAGAAACAAAGGAGGAAAGAGTTCCTTGACCACATAAAACATTTGGCTAGTTTACTAGTTTTGTTTTTAGACTAGAGACAGGGTCTCACTTTGTTGCCCAGGCTGGTCTCAAACCCTAGCCTCAAGCAATTCTTCCACTTCAGCCTCCCAAAGTGCTGGGATTACAGACATAAGACACCATGCCTAGCCTAGTTTAATAGTTTTTAAATGCCTAGTTTTTCTGCATTTTAGGTTTCTGACAAACTCTACAGTAGGTTTTTTAAGTTTTTTTTTTTTGAGATGGAGTCTTGCTCTGTTGCCTAGGCTGGAGTGCAGCTGCATAATCTCAGCTCACTGCAACCTTCACCTCCCGAGTTCAAGTGATTCTCCTGCCTCAGCTTCCCAAGTAGCTGAGATTATGGGTGCTTGCCACCATCCCCAGCTAATTTTTGTATTTTTAGTAGAGACGAGGTTTCATCATGTTGGCCAGACTGGTCTCGAACTCCTGACCTCAAGGGATGTGCCCGCCTCTGCCTCCCAAAGTGCTGAGATTACAGACTTGAGCCACCTCACCCGGCCTACAGTAACTGGTCATTAAATTCAATGTAAACATATTCTATGCTCTTTTGATGTAGAATATGCTAAAATGGTACCTGGTGACTTCAATATCATTGCAAGCCATATCGTCCTAGAATTATAAAAGTGTATTTCAGAAATCCTGCTCAAGGGGAGGGTCTACTGTATATATCTTTTATGTTACTAGGTAAAATTAATGGATATTGAGAGTGTACATTTGCCTTTGTTTTGATGATAGATTTCTATTCAAAAGATTAAAATTGTATAATGTGATCACTTCTAAGAAAGGACTATGTAATTCTTTACTTGTTTGAATTCCCAGCACCTGGTTCAGGAAATAATCAAAGTTTTAGTAAGTACTCATTATAATGAACTGCTTCACCATTCTAGTCTTTTACATTTTTCTGTGCACAGACACAAGAGTCCTGGGTCTACTGTACCAGTTTGAGGGGGAAGCATTTATATAATTTAAGTACAGTCCCCTTTTGGCAGGGAGCATGGGTTGGGACATGGACAAAGGTGTTCTGATGGGACACTGTCTGGTTAATATCCATTATTATCTTTGCAGTCAAGTGGCCTACACATAACTGAACTACTTGAATGGGACCGTTTATAAGATTAGCAGCATGGAGGGCCATTTTAACGCCCTAGTCTAGCATCTTTCATTTTAGTTTTGTTAAGCTAGGCAAAAGGTATTATATTATTATATTTTTTTATTGAGACAAGGTCTCGCTCCCATCTCCTAACCTGGAGTGTAGTGGCACGATCACGGCTCACTGTAGCCTTGACTTCCCAGGTTCAGGTGATTCTCCCACCTTTGTCTCCCAAGTAGCTGGGACTACAGGCACACGCCACCACACCAGACTAATTTTTGTATTTTTTTGTAGAGATGGGGCTTCACCAGGTTGCCCAGGCTGGTCTCGAATTCCTGAGCTTGAGCAATCTGTCTCCCTCAGCATCCTAAAGTGCTGAGATTACAGGCATATGCCACCACACTCAGTCAAAAATGTAGTATTTTAATGATAAAATATCCAGCAAAAATGTCAACAAATCAAGATCACAGCACAGAGAAAGCAACATGTATTTTATGATTATTTGAATGGAGCAAAACATCTGAACACATTGTGAAATAAGGAGCTATGATTTTTTTTTTTTTTTTTTTTCCCCCAAATTTAGGATATGGTTTGGTAGTAGGTGGGAGGGATATGCGACCAAGAAGGAGGTGTAAGTTCCCTCTCTGGTGGGAAGTTCAACAGTGTGGGTAGTATTCTTTCTTAAGCTAGGTGGTGGATATATGAGTATTCATAGTATTGTTCTCTTAAACACCATTCTGTATATCTTAAATATTGCATTTTTTAGGCTGGGTGTGGTGGCTCATGCCTGTAATACCAGCACTTTCGGAAGCCGAGGCAGGTGGATCACCTGAGGTCAGGAGTTCGAGACCAGCCTGGCCAACATGGTGAAACCCTATCTCTACTAAAAATACAAAAATTAGCTGGGCGTGGTGGCAGGCGCCTGTAATCCCAGCTACTCGGGAGGCGGTTCTTATTCTCAAAACAGTCTGTGTGAAAAAATAAAATGCTGTGTCTAATTGCAAGTGTTATTTTACCAGTATGTGATTGACATAACAACAACACATCAAAGTGTCAAAAGTGTAACTCTCCTGCCGAGTGAATTACCTCAATTTCCTGTAACTGCTCCTGATTGGTTGTATACATCTGCTGAAGAGAGTCCTCCAACTCTGTGTTCCGATCCAGTAATGTCTTCCCAAGCTCAGCAGCAAGTTGGAGATCTAGCACAACAAACGAATCTTAGAATACAAATGATCTCACATCAACAATTTATATAACCGAGTCCTTCAAAAAAGAACATGTAGTTTAGGTCACATCCCAATGGAAGGTTGAGTGGCACAGAAGGAAACCTGAGTTCTACTTAAAATTCAGTTAAACTGATGCCTCCAGCAGGTAAAGTATTCTCTTATGTACCCATACTTGTAAGAAGTGAAAAATAGTCATCTACTTTATGGAGATGCAGTTATTTGTTCAGGAATGATCATTCCGCAGTGTTACTTCTAAAATCCTATTTGCTAGTAGAATCAATGTATTCATATCCTGACAAGTCTACTTTTTTGAAAGGACCCTTGAGCCAAAGTACAGGTGGAGCTTTCAAAAATCTTTAAAGTTCCCATGAATTTGGCTGCTGTGAATACAACTGTTAAAGTTTATTGTCATATATCCTGGGCTCCTAAGGGGACTAAAAATTATTCAGTCAAGAAAAGGAAAAATACATCAGCATTAAGAACACTGCCCCAGGTCACTCTACTTTTCTTCGTATCCTTCTGCAAGATGAGCAACTAGAAAAGCAAAACAGCAATGTGGTTTTCGAGGTAATTACATGTCAGTAGCTCATACTTCCATTTAGCACAGAATTATATTTTATTTTAAATCTCATTTTTCAACTCTCTCTATTCTTAGGCATAATGTCCATAAAACAGGATTTGTTTATATTATACTCAACTCCCAGAAATGAAAATTTAGTTAACAATATAATAAAGGACACTAGTTGTAACATAGGTCATTGAAATACTTCTCTGCATAGTAAATCTTATGGAGCAGGCCTTTGATACAGTGGGAAATGCACTGCACTCTGGGCAGGTAAGTCTCAGGCCCAGTTCTATCATTTACCAGAATACTTTCAATATGGTGACTTTAGAGGCCCCTATAATTAGTATTCTTGTTTAGAGAGATGACTGTCTTATCAAAATGAGATTGTGAAAATCAAATGAAATAATAATACATAAAGGAGTACTTTACAAACTAAGTTGCAATATGCATACAAAGTACTACTAATATTCACTGATTCACAAATGAATGTTTTTGTCGCCAGGCACTATGCTAAGCATTAGCTACAGAAGAGTGAATAAAATGAAGTCCTGCTTTGCTGATATTCCCAGATTAGTGGAGGAAGCCAGACAAATGAGTAACTAAACTCACGTACTGTGATAAACAGTATTCATGCATGCATGCATATACTCAATAATATTAGACACTATTCTAGGCACTGGGATACTGCCCAGGAGCCATAAGGAACTCACATTAAAAAAAAAATCCCTGCCCTCATGGAGCTTATATTCTACTGGGAGAAACAGCAGAATAAAACATGACAGTGATAAATGCTAAAGAGAAAAAATAAAGCAAGAAAGAAGTACAGGAGGAGTGTGGATGTGGGAGGCTGAAATTTAAGAGCATGTGACTAGGACCACATTAGAATTGATATATGAAGGAATGGAATAAGTGACCCATGTAGATCCGTGTAGGGAAACAGCACTCCAGGCAGAGGCAAGGCAAGTGCAAAGCCCCTGGGAGGAAGCATGACTGAGCCATTAAGGAGGCTGAGGAGAGTGGAGCAGAATGTATTGGGCGGGGTGTCAAATCAGAGGGGCTCCAAGATGGCCAGTATGGGGAGGGCCTAACTAAAGGGGTCAAGAGTTTGGCTTTTACCCCAAATGAAAAAGACTCCAATGGAGGCTTGACAGGATCACCCTGGCTGCTATTATACAGAGTGAATGGGACAAAAGTGGGAGCAGAGTGACAGAAAGATACTGCAATCATCTGGGTGAGAGATGATGGTGGCTTGGACCAGGGTGGCAGAGATGAAGATGGAGAGAAGAGGCAGAATTCTGACATGTTTTGAAAGTAAAGCTAAAGGATTTGTTGACCAATATAAAGTCTAAAAGATAAAGGGGGTAGAGGGGGAACCTGGATTTGGTGACAATGAACAAAGGGCTTTCTTTTTCTCTTTATTAGGCACAGTCTCGCTCTGTTGTCATGCTGGAGTGCAGTGGTGCACTCATGGCTCACTTTAGCCTTGGATTCCTGGGCTCAAGTGATCTTCCTGCCTCAGCCTGCCAAGTAGCTGGGAATATAGGCATGCACTACCAAACCCAGCTTACTTACTTACTGATTTATTATAGAGACAGGGTCTTACAATGCTGCCCAGGATGATCTCAAACTTCTGGCCTCAATACATCCTCCCACCTCAGCCTCCCAAAATGTTGGGATTACAGGCATGAGCCACAGTGCCCAGCCTAGGGACCAATTTAGAAAGAGAGGTCATAAGGAAGGTCTGAGAAGACCTTTTAGCTGAAGCTTGAAGGATGAAGAACTTGCCATGAATTTGGCATATTCTACAACCTGACAAGCAGCCAGTATGATAGAGGCATGAGAGAGCAGATCATATAGGATTTTACAGCCCATGGTAGGTAAAGTTTAAGTTTTATTCTAGGTATGATGGAAAGCAGCCTCAGTTAATGTCATAAAAGTATTATGAAAAAAATAGTTATCATAAAAACAAGGAAACTCACTACATAATTATTTTTAAACTTAATTTTTAGAGGTTGACAAATAACGCTTACTGGCTATCCACCACTGATAGTAAAACTTAGCCTTGAGTAAACGGTAACAACAGCATTAGTTGTTTTAATGTCTACTCAAGTGCATAATTAGTATTCTACTTGGTTAGTTTTCACTCTAGAAAAAGCAAAACCCACCACACCCAAATCCAGATCATTTAAAAATATTTTACACCCATTTAAAATAAAACAGTATACTGTTTGTAGATAGGTGCTAAAATACATTCTCTTGTGATTTCAAAACTAACGATGTCTATTACAGTCATTACATTA